TTATATAAAATTTTACCGAGCCACCGAGTGTCGGGGCACACCAAATTCTTACCGAAATATGTCCTTGATTTTAATATATTATTTAATCAGTTCTACTTATATGTCGTCCTTATTAAAAATAAATATTTTTTAATACTTATCTTTTATAAAATCAATGCACCTATTATTTTTCCTATTTTACTCTCAAAAGTTATTAGTCTTGAAAATATGAATTTGATCAATATAAAAAAATTAAATGATTAATTCATGTTTGTTGGTCAATTTAATTAATAAAAAAAAATTCATGTTCATTTATTAAAAAATTGACTTTTAAGAGATTACTAAATAAGAATACGGTAAACTTATCTAGCTTTTTAAGGAGCGTGAAATCTAAAATGATAACACATAAATAAAAACGGAGAAAATAATAATTTTTTGTTCTTACAATCTTACCAGCAACCAGACTGCCCTCTAATAACATTTTGAAAACAAAAAGTGTTTCTGTAGCATTCATTATATTTTTCTTCGGCTGTCTTTTTACGGATTTTTACTGATTCAAACATTACAAAATCGGAAAAGTCTCTGCTGACAAGTAAGGTGAAAATAGACCTAGACATTTAAACATGCAATTTGAGTTCTTATACCTTTTCCTATGTCAATGTAATTAGGAAGATATATTATGAAAAAAGGGAGAAAAAATACAGTAAATGAGAAAACAAGTCCATGTCAGAAAATAAGTGGAAGAAAGGGAAATTGTAGAAAATGAGGAGTACTTAATAATGGGGAATAGTTTTGTGGGCTCAATATATAAAAAGGTCCTTCATTCGTTTATTTTTAATTGTTTACTTAAATTTATATTTATTTTTTTTAAAAAATGCTTAATATTCTGAATAACTTATCATAATATTTATATTAATTAATGTTTAGTATATGATTTTGATTTTAAAAAAAAATAATCTTAAGGTTAAAACATGAAACAAAAAGTTATCTTTTTTTATATATTAAAAATGATAAGTAATAAGAACGAAGAAAGTAATTCTCACTCATTACAAGGTAAAAGAAGAAACTGCTTCGACTTGCCTTCATTTCTCTCCTCACTTCTAAGCAAAGTAACTCAATGATTTCCGACTTGCCTTAATATTGCTAGGCAGCTTGAGAGGATAGGAATTGACATCAAGAAATTTTTTTTAAAAAACGAAGTTTCTTTAACTTCTATCTAATTGTATTGTTTATGATCCCAAAACTAAGTATACCTTTTGCCATTTTTCTTCTATTCATCCTCTTTTATATATAAACCAAACAAAAGAGAAGGATATTTCCTTAATTCTATTCAAATGGTATTATATGGTGGTGGGTTCCATAATGTGACCGTAGAATCTTTCAAGGAAGCGCATTAGGTGACGCGGGGACGTTAAGAGGAAAATTGGACTACGCCTATATGCAAAGAATACACGTCGACCGCTTCAAGGTGCCACGTGGATGTCATCAAATATTCATTTTTGTTACATCCACATCATAATGCTTCTTTTTCAATAATATTCCACCAAAAAAAGGAAGTCATTTTGTGGTGTTTTAGGTGTCGAATTATATTAAATAAAAATCACAAATTCATTAGTTTGGAGTTTAATTACGTAACTTTTCCTGAGGTTCTAAAATTACCTATCATGTCAGTTTGGATCACCAGAGACATAAATTTAGTACATCTAGATAGATAGATGTATTTTAAATATAATGGTAAAAAAATTTTAAAATATAATATATCAAAATAAATTCACATGTATCTAAATCTCTTCTTTTATATGTGTATAGATACATTATTTGAGTCTTTGACTCGCCTCCCTCCACTCTCGCTCGTTTTTCTCCATATATATTAATAGTTTAGAGTATATCTATAGCAAAAACCATATATCTAGATGTTATGATTTTTAATTTGATATAAAATTATTAAGTAATGTAATATATATAATTATTTCAAATTATGAAAATTTTAAAAAAATAAATAAAAATATTTATGTAATTAGGTAATTCTTTTATTATCTTTCTCAAAGAAATTGTTTTCACAATTGAAAGAAGCGACTTCACTCACTTTTCGACATATTAATTTCATACCACTACTCCAACTAATATTTAAATATTATTTAATGTTCATTTACACCTATCTAACACACTCGTAATATAAAACAAATTCAAATCATAAATTAAGTATAAGAATCTATTTTATCCATCTCTCAGATGTGCACTCAATGAATTACTCTATTAAATTAAGAAAAATAGCACCAAGGCGTAAAACATCTTTTGATTTAAAATTTATTCCCCTCTTACAAATCATCAATTTTTTAATACACAAAATTCATGAATCTATTTTTCATTTTCTTTTCTCTCATAAATTTAAATATCAAAGACTATTAGTAATTTTTTAATCATACAAAACACAAGATAACCTCAATTTAGTACTTGAATAATTTTTAATTAGTTGTAAATTAACACATTTTTTAATAATACATTTATCAGAATATTTTCTCTTCCCACAAGAATGACAACCAAGGGAAAAAAGAAAAGACGGTCAGAGTGGGCGGCTGTAAAGCTGGAGCTGAGACATTTAGCCTTTTCTGCTTTCCTTTCTCCTTATCAACTCAAAGCCGCTCAACTTGTGGGGTACAAGGTGTGTGTGAAATTACAAATATAACCTCTACTTGCATGTATGACCACTAGGCAAAAGATAATACTATTTTTTTCTTTTCAATAAATAAATTTGCCGTCTTTAGGCAAATCAAGTCAAGTGGTGGGGAAACAAAGAGGAAACCAAGTTGTATTGCAATTTGCTATGGAAATTGGAACCTTTTTTTATTTACTAAGTTACCATTTCACGTGCCTAAAGTGACCCAATTAATTTCATTGGTAAGTCAAGAGAGACAGCCATTTGCAACGTAAGAGATAGAAGTAAAACGTTTAAATTTTTATTAGAAAAATTGGCCAGTGAATCAACTTGGGCCTTTAACGTTACTATCTTGTTCATTTTTTTAATTTGTGTTTTGATATTTGCTTAGAGGTTGATTCTTTGACCTAATCTTCATTACTTGTCCGTATATGATCCATAATATCACGAATTTAAATTTTTACTAAGTTACATCACTTGACAACTCACTCACGAATCTTTCACTATCTTGCAAGCTCAGATAAGTCTTTTATACTTGATCGCTAAGGAAATGAAGATAGATACTATAATTGCTTGCTAGTTGTTTCATTTACAAATGGATATCCCTCTAATTATACTACTAACTTAGCGGCTAATATGTAAATAATAATTGTCAATTAAATTCCTATATATTTTCAAATAAGTTCTCATTCTAGAATTTCTACATAGCTAGAAGATTCCAAGGACCTTCCATACAAATTCATGAAATTCTAAGATTCTCCACATGTCTCTAAAATTTTCCACTATGGGATAACCTTCTTCCAATCTAGAACTTCCACATGAATAACTTTATGTCACGTAGCACCTAAGTGGTAATAACATGGCGAATCATGATAATAGGATTGATAACTTGATATCATCACAAACTTCTATGAAGATATATACTCTTAATTTAACCTACTTTCTTTAATAAAATAAAATAAATAAACTAATAACATATTTTTAAAAAAAATTTAATTGTCATGTATACTTAATAAATAAATAAATTTTACAGGTGATTCGTTAAATTTTACTATACTTCATTACAAAAGAAATAATAAAACTACTTTTTTTTAAAAAAATATAGTAATAAAATGGTCACTCAACATTTGTATAAAAATTAGCTACTAGAAGGATGAATGAGATTGAGAGACGGGGGAGAAAGGTGAGTGAGATTGAGCGAGAAAGATGAGAAGCGAGAGATGAAAAGCAAGTGAGATATAATTGATTTGTATATTTAATTGTTAATTGTATCACATATACAATAGACACAATTGATTTTTATCAATGAATACAATTATATAAAAAAACTTATATATTTAATTTGTTGATGCAAACCAATTATATCAAATATATTAATGAATATAATTTGTATCAATGAATACAATCATGATATTGTAATTCTTATAAACACTGAAAATGGTCTAGAATGAATAATTAACATTTAACAATAAGCTCATGCTTTCAGGGAAATAAGGATTAAAAAACTATACCTTTTATCTAATATTTTATTTATTAAGTGCGACAGTATAAATAAGTTTTCCATAAAAATGATCTACTAAACTTATTCGTTGCTCAACTATTAATTTTTTTTCCAACTAAAAACAATTAAAGATTCTAACAATAAATTCACCTTTAATAGTCATATAAATATTTTAAAAATTTATTTTAGACCATAAATTTCATTTTAATTTTTTTTTATGCCCTAGTTAAATAGTCATGTCTCATTAATTGAGACAAGTATAGAAGAAACTTTTAATGGCATTGAGACAAGTATAAAAGAAACCCTCGCGTCCTCCAATATTGGGTACACAAATAGACACATATACCCTATATAACATTTTATATGATAATTTATAGCATGACATCCTACTTGTATTATGTTACATTGAAGATATTAATATCTATTATTAAATTCTATATAATCTTAGGTGTCTATATCCATACAAAATTAAAGGACATAAATATAACTGAATTAAGCTAAAAGACATTTATGCCAAACTTTTAACATGTTACATATTTGGATGTATTTAATTTGTGAGAGTTGGAAGGGATGGGCAGCAGGGAGTTCAAGGATGGAAATGGTAAAAACATAAACATCTATAAGCTGTCCTCTTAATAAAAAGAGCCATTTTCCATACCTTATCCAGCCTGTATAAAATATCCCCTATTTTATTTTATTTTTAAAGAGGTCACCGAAATACAAATAAAATACTGTAGCTCTTTTTTTTAAAAGATATCCTCAAAAGTGACGATTAAGTAAAGAACACGTCAGACCTAATCTAGAAAGAAGCATACCCCCTCGACCCATCAAATTTTCCATAATTACCCCAAAATTCATAGGGGTATTATCGTCAATACATCACCCTCACCCCACAATTTGCCTGATACGCGTATCCAATGAGGCCATTATTCCATCGCCATTACCGACCTCTCTCCTCCTTAAAATCTCCATTTTTCCTTCCCCTCTTTCCCATTTCTTCATCCAAACCAAACCACAAACCACTCTCCCCATCCCCTCTCTCTCGCTCTACGAATTTCGTATTTTTTCTTTCTAGATTGAAGCAGGCAATCGAATTTTGTCATAATTTTTAAATTTTACACAAAAAAAATGGCTCAGAGAACGGAAAAAGAAGAGACGGAGTTCAAGGCCGTACCTGAAACTATAACGCTTTGCATCAATTGTGGAGTCACAGGAAATCCAGCCACAAACAATATGTGTCAAAAGTGCTTCAACGCCACCACCGCGGCTACCTCAACTTCATCCAGCTCGCCGACGGGGTCGGCGGTGACGATTCCTCACAAGTTCGCTGAGAAATTGGTCAGATCTGAAAAGTCGGCGAGATTCAGCTCGTTGAGGTCGTTGCCGGACAGGAAGTCTGATCTGGACAGGATGAGTCAAGATCTGAAGAAAGTTGGAGATTGGATGATGGTAAAGGAGGAGGATCAACTGAAGGACAGCTTACCGCCGGCTAAGAGAGAGGTGAATCGTTGCTCCGGTTGTCGAAGGAAGGTAGGATTGACCGGATTCCGATGCCGGTGCGGCGAATTGTTCTGCGGTGAACATCGATACTCCGATCGTCATGATTGTAGCTATGACTACAAAACCGCCGGCCGAGAAGCGATCGCGAGGGAGAATCCGGTCGTGAAAGCAGCAAAAATCATTAAAGTTTGAAAGGATAACACGAAAACCGCGTCCTTTTTACCGTTATAATCAAATTTCAAATGATGAAAAAAATGGAGAGAGATCGAATTCCGATCTCCGTAACTGCTGCTGCTGTTATTATGCTTTTCGTCGTCTCAGAGGGGAGAGACGCACAACGAACGCAAAAATAATATCAAAACTAGAGAGTAATTCGAAAAAATATATTTTTATTATATATTTATCTAATTCGAAGTCATGAATTTGTTGTGTGAAAAATTCATCTCCTTTTCTGAATTGTTATTTTGAAGAATTAAATCCTTTTTAATTTTTTTCCAGTGTTCTACAAAAAGATTGTGGCTTTACAGTTTCTTTGTTCTTCGTTTAGTCCTTGTTTGGTTATTGAGCAAAATGGAAATGGATTTGATCACTTTCAAAGAACATCAAATAATCGTTTTCTCTGTAAAGCAAACGCGGTTTACATTATTCCCATGACCATGAGTGGCATATGGTCGTAAATTGATGGGAAGTGTGGGGGTGATACGTTATTAGAATTTCTTAAAGTAAAAGATAAGACATAGAAAGGGTTGGGCCCACCAGTCTGCCAAGTGGTTGTTGGTATCGTGATAAATTGGGAATGAATCGAGGAGACGTGAAAATGAGGTAACAGAAGAACTGGTTGATTTTAGTTTTTGAGTAGTCGCTGTATTTTGTGAGATGTTGAAAGTTCAATCTATCTTTAATATTTGTTGCATAGTATTGGGGATATGCAAAAAGAACTTGAATTAAAATACCCAACCTTACGTTAGCAATAGAAGTGGTCAAAGAAAAGAAAATATCACCCAGCAAAAATTAAAAAAGAGAATGTACTAAACCACATGGGAGATGTAAACTGCATTAGATAAGTCCTATGCAAAAGACTCGACTCAGAAGGCATTGAGAAGAGATCGATCATGGGTCATTCGTGTGGATAAAATCACCCTCCAAACCAATTGAGCCATTTTGAAAGACGAACTTGACATTATTGACAAACTTATAAACATTCTTTTATTTAATTAATTAAACTTATCTACACCCTAATCATTACATGACATAGCAGGTGATATCAAATTCTCAGGCTTTTAACAAAAAAGCGGTGAAAAGTATTGCAAACCTCTGAATTTGGCGAGAATCTAGAGATGCATTTTACTCATGTTGTAAGATCAGGGGTATATTTAAGTTCAGTTAATCAGGAATATAGTTAAGTTCAGTGTTAGATATTAAGATTATCAATAATTTAAGTATGAAATAATAATTTATGTCAAATCTAAGAATATTTTCAATATTGGATGAAATATTAATATGACTTCATATATTTTACTTATTCAATTTAGTGGGCATATTAGTCATGACATTTAATATGATATTATGATATAATGACAAGATGGTGTGATCAACATGGGATATGATTCACTGGTGGGAGTGTTTTACCCTTAACCAGAGGTCTCGAGTTCGAGCCCTTGATATGAAGAAAATCTTGTTGGGAGCGAGCTTCAATATGGGCTCCGAACACCAAGTGAGAAAAAAAAAAGAAAAAAGAATAAAGATAAGATGGTGTGGTTTGGAAGGTTAATGTCTCCTACTTTAATTTTTTAAGTTTTGTTGTTTGCTTATAATACCAAGAGAGCAAAAGGCGAGCTTCTAGAAGAGATGTTAAAAAGAAAAGAAAAAGTCATGACATATCGTATTAGTATCGCATTATGCTAATAATCGACCTAATCGTCTCTTAGAAACACTCAAGGAGACAAAAATAAATACATTTAAAAATAATGAAAAGTAAAATCATGATAAATCAATATGATATCATGCGATACTTAGTCTCTTTAATTTTATTTAATTACACTTAATATATTATGATGGATCGTCATGATTTCAAAACTAGAAAAGAAATAAAAAAGCCAAAAACATTGACATGAAAGTCATGATGTTGGGTATCGGTACGAGTATATTCAATTCAATTATTTATTAAATTATTCACAATTTATATGTATTTTTATGATTTTAAAGTTACAAATAAAGAAAGTATTTTTTTTTTAGTAATGTGACATGAAATACCAGAAAGATTGATATGACTTTAAAGTTATACCCAACCTAGCTAGCTATAAAGTTGAATTATACACAAAATCATATATTGGATCTTTATGATTTAAAAGTTATAAATAACGAACCAAAAATAATAATTAGAAATGTAACATGTAGGTTAATATCAAATATATATGACTTCATCCTATATTCAACCTATCAACAATTAACAAATTATTCACAAATGACACTGAAATATCATGATTTTAAATTATTCTATTTTATGTGACTTCTTTTGATTCCAATTTAAAAAATGAACGTAAATCAAGGGTAAGAAAATGAGTGAAAGTTCTTTCTATCAAAACATTATTCTCAGGCATATTTTGGTGTAAAATAATAAGACAAAAATGATTATATTCCTCAATTTTTATTGATATCTTGTTATCATTTCTTTTCAATTTCGAGTTCGATAGTAAATTTTTGGAACATGGCCTAAAATTCGAATAATTTACTACAACTGTTCCATATATCACATCAAATAAATCCATCTACTTGTCATTTTACGAGTAAACTAGGCAAATAGAAACTAAATATTAGTGCTAGTTTTAATATATTCTTTTGTTTGATTTAGTGATCAAGTTTGAAACACAGTGTAATGAATCATAAGTACAATTTTTAATTGTTTATTCTATATTTGGTTGATGAAATAATATGTTAAATGAATAATGTAAAATAGCAGCAGAGTTATGATTTTTATTAAAGAGTTTAAAATATGAAGAAATAAACACACAGAGAAGTGCAAGAAGGTTCAACACATATTAGTGTAATTTTCTTTCAAAAGAGTTTCGAATGAACTGATGAACTCTTACTAACTCTGCCTTGATGCGAAAGTTAATCAACCTCATAATTGAAATCGGAATGAGAAAAATAAAATATCTGAAATTTTATTTGAAATGATATATTACACTTTCTAAAAAGAAAAAAATCCAAGAATATAAAAGCCAAATCTTTTAAAATAGTAACGAACCAATCGATGAACATGTAATTGTCAAATTATGTTATTATCGGTTCAAAAAGTTTTCGTTTTGTTCTGTAATTAAAGTACCGACAATTGAAAGAATCCAGTTTCACTTCACAATCAATTGTACTCATTTCATCATAATTTTTATTTAAACTTGACATATATAAATTTATTATCATAAAAAACAATTTGATATTCATAATTCACAACAATTATTGCACTGTACCGGACGATTTAATTTTTATATGTATACATATACATATATTATGTAATTTATTAATTTGAAGTAAACATTGAATATCGAGCTAGTAAAATTTTATCATGCTAGTGCATATTGGATGTTTGCCAACTTAACACAAAAGACGGTGCAGGAAAGAAATCCAAAAATAAGAAACATGTTCTGGTATCTAACCTAACAATTTCTAATTTGGAATCAACAATATTTTTCTATTAATCTCTGATTAAAATCATTGGTTAGAATTTTTATATGATTAATTAAAGTAGCTAATAGTATAATATATTTAAATTTAAGTTGTTGATCAATGTCATTGCGACAAGACAAATCATCGGTGGAATAAAGTAAAGTGTTTAAAGTGTCAGGGACCATCTACTTATTTTTTGCATTAACAATGTACAATGGGGTGGATGCACTTCAAAGGTAACAGGTTTATCTGAATCGGTAATTTTGATGTAAAATATAATTATGTATAAAAAGTTTTGAAAATTTAAGTAATAGATATGAATTGATTAACTTTGAGAATGATAATTTTTTTAAAAATTTTTAAGGTTGAAGTCATAAAGTAAAAATTAAGAATCCACCTAACAACGGCGTAACAAATAATGGAATCAAACGTGTTATTTTTTTTATATATATTATTTTTTGTGAATGGGTTTCAATTCTTTGATATTTCTTTTGAGAAATTACCACTTGGAAGCTCGGCTAAAAATATTTATATTTGTTAGCTAATATATATAACATATATTTTTTTAAACAAATTAACGGATATTTATGTCAATTTCCCGTATTTTGTTCTAAGTTAATGCCATCACGTTTTTTTTAATATTTGAAGTTCACAAAGTCCGCCTAATTTAAATTTGTGTTGGATAGATTCACTATGAAAAGGAAAGAGCTTTCTGTTAAGAAGCACTCGATTCTCAAAGTTCAAATTTGAAATCGAATAAAATAATCTCAATCATTCCATTACCTCCTCCGATGATAATGCCTTAACTACCCCACTATGAATTCTACCTAAATTAAACTAAATTTTCACTTACAAAACGGTTATATTATAATTTAAAGGATTAAGGTTCGGTTTCATCAATCCTTTTCCTTTTCTTTATCTTGATTTGGACTTGCTTATATATTCCCAAGCAAAACCTTATGAAAGGTATAGGACAAGGGAAAAGAGAAAACAATGCTCATGCTAATATTTCTTATTCAAATTTTTGAGATGCAACTTTTTTCCCAATCATAAGTGAACACGAAATGCTTTGTTTACCGATCTAATTTTCTCTTTTCGATTTTACTTACAAGATTCTTCATTTAGTGCAAAATCGGATAAGATATTGCAAAAAAGGAGATATGAAACTAGTGCTATGGACATTCATATAATAATAAGATTAAAAAAGCTAAATTAGATACATGAAAATGTCACATGAAACCCACTGAGTAATATTGGTTATTTATTATTGTCGTAAAGCAAAACAAAATAAATAAATAAAGATATTTTGTTTCATTATTGGGGATGAAAATTATAAGTTAGTTGAGTGTCATAATTTGAGCGTGACATAGATAGGAATGAAAGTGATTTTTTATCTAAAATACCCAATTCCATGAAACCAAGAAAGATTCTTTTTTTTAGTAGACTCTTATAGGAAGTACTTAACTTAATTAAAAGAAAAATTAATCTAAAACTTTTTTTATTTTTGTTTAATAAAGAATGCTAGTTTAAATATATAAAGTTTTACACTAATTATACTTATTTATACTTAAATATATAAACCATATATATTCGTGACAGTTTATATATCAGATCATTCAAAAACATTAAACTGTAATTATCTCGTTAGAAAAGGCTCCACTTTTTTTTATGAAATAATTTGAAGTCCCACATAGACTTTTTAAGCATTCCAAAAAGTTGCAACTTTTTTGCTTAGTCCAATCATTTTGTCATGTCTTATTTCATGAAAAGATGCTCAATGTTTTAGATTAATGTCAATGACTTTATAGATTGGCCAATGAAATGCAAACAATGAGCTATCCCTCACAAAGCTATATTTTAATTAAAATCTTACACCTATGTGTAAGTGATAGGGTGGAGAGACCCTAGTGATAGATTTTAAGTTCTATTCCCACTATAAAGGGTTAAGTCTTTTAGCAATATGTTAGTTTATTTTTATTTTTTTCTTAATTACAATTGTATACAGTAAATTATGATTACTAATATTGATCTATATCCACTTTCCTTGGTGTCTAAATTTGCTTTCATCTTTTAAATTATATTCATACCGTGCTCACATGTTTTTTTTTTACTATGTATACAGAGATTCTATTTCTATCTTTGTTGGATAGAAAACTATTTCCGATAGACCCTTAGCATTTATTCACCAATTTTACAGCTGAAAAGCAAATACAGCACAAAAGAATTTTTCAGCTAGCAATTTCTTTTTTATTTATGAAGCATTTTCTTAAAAAAAAAAAAAAAGGTTTCTAACATTTTCGGTGCAAATTGTAAAATGAAAAACATGAAAACCATTTATAAAACATTTTTACAACTAGAAAAAAACAGTTTTGGAGTAGTATGAATCTTTAAATTAGAGAGAATGTGGTAACAAAATATTTATGTAAAATATGGGAAAAGAACATTTGTACGGAAACAAGTGACTACCACTTTACTTTCACAACCCTGTTTTTAACTACTAATGTGCGTTTACTGCTTGATACCATCAATATATATATACACCTTGATATATATATTACTATTTAATACCATCAGAGTATAAGGATGAAGAAGCAACGGTTCAACAAATAGAAACAGTCGCGTAAAATATTTCGGCCATGGATCCAATTTGTGTAGTTTTCCCAAATATAACTTCCCTCAATGAGAAGCTTCCACCCAAAACCAGTCATTGACTAATGAATGCAACAGTTGGTAACAAAAGTTGATGAGAACTAAAAGTGATTGGCAACAAAATTTTCATCTGTAAGAGCATTTTGTTGTGCTAACTGCTAAAAGGCCACATTATTGACTAGTAACAGAAAATTCACTCTGTTCATCACTTCACATTACAAAGCATCTATTCTTGTACTAAACTCTAAAGGGCCACCTCAATAAGAAGTTAAATTGACTAGTAACAGTACTTGCAAACATAAAATGCAGCAATGGCTGCAAGGATTGATCCTATTATCATGAGAAATATGTATCTTAGTCTACTATGGATCAATGATCATAGAATAAAGACATTAAAGAAGCAAACGAACCTTTTTCTTATAACTCGGCAACCATGATTGACAACTCTGAAACAACTTTTTGCGGAAGTTCAGAGATTGCCAACCTAGAACTGGTGTTAGAACACGACATGTGATGCTTCATTGGATGGGGAAAAAATGGCGAAGCAAATCAACCAACAAGACAGCTTCTTGTGGGGTTTGGTCAACAACCTTCCACACACTGAAGCCAGGCCCGAAGTAGTAACCAGCATCACTCCAGTATTTCAACAATGCCAAAGAAAAAGGACCTTGTATGATACCACGAGGATCCACATAGTGCCAAATTGCGACATCAGGGTTCATCACATCAGTAGACTGATTTCCATATCTTTGGTCCTCAACATCTGGATCATCATCGCTCAATTCAATTACCTCAGTTTGAACTGCCTGGACCTGTACTTGATGTGTGACGATATCTTCTCCAGAGGCCACGACCTGCATTTCTTCACCTCTTTCAACTCTTGCAGAAATGGTAGAATCTCTTTGTTCTTGAATCATGTCTGCTTGTTGATCTGTGTTATTTCAGATACAGAATATTTCAGAAACCAATTAGAGGACCATGTGTAACCCAACTTGTTTATTAAGTTATTAATATTACATTATTAGGTTCCATAATTGGAACTTCATGGTACCAAGGTTTTTTTTCTAGTGCATGTACTTCATTGACAGGCAAATTTGAGTTCGCAAATATGTTTCCTTCTTTTTTATACTTTGAAGATGTATCACACCATAATATTTGTCACCTTTTGATCACTAAATATAAATGTTACGAACCTTGCCAGACTTCAGGCTTTTTAAACCCAAAACTCAAGTTACTCTGGTCTCAATCAACAAAATTAGAAACAAAACTAAAGGCACTTAATTTCAAAAACCAGGGAAAGAAGGAATCACCATTTCCATTAGCAATGGATGCATCTCCACTTACAAACCTCCTATCGGATGGGACCATGATATCTCCTGAAAATAAAATACAGTCACACTTGGGTAAAGTATAAGAAATCATATGTCAGATATTGACTGAGCAAAGTATAGTGATCCTTCTCTCATCGTTGCGAGGCTGTCAACTAGAAGAGTGGATGTTAGGCATGTAGGGAAGACTCTGACTATGTACGTTGGCAGTATCCCTCATCATGGATTGTTCTTTGATTGAAGGAATGGGACAGAAGAGAACCAGGACCAAATCCTCCACACATCACACATTCAGTCTGATCTTATCTGCGCTATTGTTCGATCATAACTATACTGTATTAGGGACTCCGTTTCGGGATCTTCATTGACTGGATAAAGAGTTTCAACTGATGGGAGGTTCTTTAATTGGGTGATTGGCTTAGTAAAGCAACCTTTTGCGCTAGGCCCTCACTTGCTATGAAATCCTCCCTCCATACCATGACATGTCTGTATATAGAAATAGAGCCTTACAAGAATTAGACAGCTTCGAGCAGACTCCAGGCCTTTGGGCTATTTCAAATAAGGCAGGAACGGAAACAAGACTGAGAGGGGAACAGAATGGAATACTAGGAGAGAATCCTTAACTTTATTGAAGTTCTAAGATTCTCCCTCCTCTCGGCCTTGCTTTCATCCCTGTCACATTTGAATTAGCTCCCAAGACAGGGAGTCTTCTTGAAGCTGTCCAAGTAAAGTAGTGCCAGATACAAATGAAATAGTTTTTTCTCTTTTTTAGAGCAGTCAATTCCTTATTCTATCCTCCTCTGAGGGGTTCCATAAGCAAACATTGTTGTGGAAATCAAGGGAGAGTACCATTTTAGAAAAAATCAAATAGTTTTCGATTCCCCCCAAGCTTATGGGTCAATTACTTGGGGTAACCGGTCGATCAACTGACCAAAGCCTAAATCCTTATGAATCAGCCATCCGGGCTAGTCGACTTAGGCCTTCGTGAAAACGTCCACAGGGTGTTAAGCAAGGTGAGGTGAGTTTGAAAGCTAGAGAGTTCATGAGGACGCTTTTCTAAGAAAAAGACGCTTAATTTCAAAAACCCAGGGGAAGAAGAAATTACCATTTTCATCAGCAGTGAATGCATCTCCATTTACGAAAATCCTATTAGATGGGATCATGGTATCTCCTGAAAATAAAATACAGTCACACTTGGGGAAAGTATAAAAAATCATGTCAGCTATTGACTGAGCAAAGTATTGTGCTTAATCAGATTGCAGGAAACAATATAACTAAAGAAAAATAAAAATGTAGAATAGCTACCTATAATTACAGAAAAGATTTAGCCCTACCCTCACAACATGCAAGCATAGTATACAAGTGAAAAAGGACTAGCAAATTTGATATAGCAAAAGATGACTAAAATAAGCATAACATCCAGTTTGCGAACCTCGCATACTCAAACTAAATACTAAACTTACCCATCAAGACCAAGATTCAACGATTTGAACTGACTAACATAAATATCAAATTTTCAAGAGGCAGAAATAGTATTAAATCGAACAATTTGATGCTGGAAGAATATTATTTTGAGAAACTGTTGAATTGTGTGACTGCCTCATCTAAAGAGAGGGCACTTCTTAATTCTAATTATATCTTCAGCAGAAGGCATCACCAAACGTTGGGGAAGGCAGATGAATTCCCCCAACACAAACTGGCATGGCCTTGCTTGTCTAAGTCCCACTTTGAGAGGTAAAAAAAACCCAGCAGAGAGCTTCTGGCGATGGGTTGGAGACCTAGACTGGCTTTAAAGAAGTAATTGAATACTAGAGTATGAAAAGTCTTTTGGGACCCCTACTGGTTAGCATTTTATGCATAAAGAGACAAAAGGGAAATTCACACTAGCAATTTTGGGCAGGTTCATCAATCATTTAGGACAGGGACAGAATAACCAAGTAGAAGTTTGGCATATTACTAAAAAAGAAACAGCTAATTTGTCTACTGGAACTTTTTCTCATAGGAGTATTGCAAAGATATACAATGCACTGCATCATATAATCTAATCAATTCTGCTGGCACCTGACAGCTCCAATATTTGTTCTCTTTGGCGATGCTGGTCACTCGGTAGAAATCATTGATCTGATATGTCCCGCCTTCCTCATCATATGCACATTATAGGTTGGAAAGATTATAGACGAGGAACACTAAAGGAAAAAGAACATAAGAATCCTTTTTGCTACCACCTTTGTCCCTAACACATTACAGCCACCTTTACTTTCACCAACTTCTCTTGCCAAATCAAAAATATCTGGTAGGCAACCCCAAATACGTTACTCCCCCCGTTTCAAAATAAATATTGTTTTTAGCTTGGGCATACTCCTTAAGAAAACTACACACTCCTAGAAAGTTAGAAGTGTCATTACCAATTTACCCTTAATCAAATGCCTTTAAAAGAAGTAGCTCTTTATCCTTAAAAAAAAAAAAAAAAGTAGCTCTTTAATGGTGTCTTGGTTATGTAAAATTTCATTTATTTAATAAGGGTAAAATTGGAAGAAGAATTAATGCCTTATTGATTTTGTGAAACACCACTTATTTTGAAACAAAATAAAAAGGTGCAAACACCATTTATTTTGGAATGGAAGGAGTAGATGACAGAGGTATCTGCTCACATTAACTCAACTGGTGCCTCAAAGCAAATTAGACATCTTCAATGGTCTCTTGTATATCTACCACAACTAAAGATCATTTTCTTTTCCAATTACAATTGTCAAAAGCACAAACCTATCTCAACCATCTGGACAATTCGAACTTTATTAACTCCAGGGGAAAAAGTAGTGGTATAGCATTTCAAGATTCCAATCAATAACTGATTCCTGAGGAAAGAAAAGTCACTACTAACTTCAGCCCGTACGAAAGTTGTCTGCCAGTTCGACAGTCAATTAGTTTCGTTTTTCCATTACTCAAGCTATTTTAACCTGTCATTCCCTTTCATTCCTTTCCCTTCCACTGAAATGATCTCCATTTACTGCCCCATCCCCAACCCTAGTCAAAACAATAAAAAATGGCTCTCTCGAACTCTGTTCAGATTAAAACTATTGTTTCAGGAATCAATCTCAAAATAACTTATTTGAGTCCAAACTTATTAAGCTTTCAGACTGACAGATGAGGTAGTAAGAAAGTTTTGTACATATTGCACATCCAAATGCTTCTAGAAAAATGGCTAAACTCCAAAAAGTAAAACAAAAAGGGAAGGTTTAACTGAATAAGCTTTTAGAAACCGTGAAGTTCTGTGGCAGAGAGGATGTTAGAGCTCACCTGCACCAGAAATGTCAGTAGCTCCATTAGCAGTTGACTTTGGTGAACAACCATTTTCTCTTTCTTGCTCCACTACATTTTCTTCTAGGGCATCAACAGTTTTAACTTCAGCCTCTAATTCCTCAGCTACAACGTTTGGCATCACGGAAAAGAGTCTATCCTGTTCTTTTTTTGTGTGTAGCAGCTGCTTCCTCTCCAGAAACTCAAACAGTGTAACTCTAAAGTAGGTCAAGGAGACACTTAGATTCATCACCAGGATCAACAAGTAAAACAGGCTTTTAGCTTTTACATTGAAGTCCCAACAACCAGAGAGACATAATTTTGTAAACTTTGCCTGAAAACTAGCATACAGAAGCGATATTGAAGCAATCCAGCAAAGAACAACTATGAACCAAAGGAAACTTGGATAACTTTCTCAATGAAAGCATACTAATAGGGGCTTTCCATTAAACAGGATGTATTGTCATTAATACTCTATATATGCAATAATAACTATCCAGAGTTTTAGAAACATGCAAACACATGAACTTCAAATATTCCCCATGTAAAGAATAATTGAAGGAGTTATTCTAAAGTAAGAACCAGAAAAAGATGTGTCGAGCAAATTGACTCAATCACCTCAGGAGTACTACTACTGTCTATTTATAGTTAACATTGTTAAGACCCCACGGCGGTTAAGTGTATATATAATCGCCTTGTATAGTTTTGAACAATCTTCCTAACTTGAACTAACTTTTGTGGTTGAGTCAAGCCCAACAATCATTTTCTCAACATGGTATCAAAGTCACGTATCCTTGATGTTGGACTACCCAATGTTGGGCCCCCTATGTTATATTAGTGCATCTTCTAGATATTCAGTCTTGAGTGTGCAGGGAAGGGGAGTCAGAATCTACATGGGCATGTATGGGTTGTACCCTCTTTGAAAGGTCTTGGACAATTCTCATTACTTGAGCAAAATTTTGAGGTTTATCTCAACAAATTTATTTCCAAAATATTTAACCTACTGTGACTTCTGTCTCGAACTACTTTGACCTATTTCGCTACATGAATTGTTTTTCCTCCAACTGCACAAACAAATTAACTAATCCAGAATAATCAGAAGTACTATAAACCAATACCGACTAACATAAACTAATATCCAAGAAATCCTAGAGGGCCAGTGGTGCACAGTTCAGAACTCAGTGAATGATGTCCCCCTCTACCCTTCCCACTTATATACCATGTTTTTGTCTACCGCAAGGCGAGGTAGGATTACCAACATATAATCTGCAGACGACAATTACCAACTGTTGCTTTTCTTATGCAGGAATGGAAATTGCTGCATTAAAGAGCAGGTTTTGCCTTGCAACCACTAGAAGATGCAAATATTTTAATAGCAGAACCTTAAGACATATGAAAGGATATTGTTTGCGCCATCCCTTTTCATTGGCATGATCAATGTGCTTCTGTAACAACACAACTTCTCTCTCAATCCACTGTAGCCAAATCAAAACATGAGATAAGAGTAAAAATTAGATACACATGGAAATGAATGGTGATGAACAACATAGTTGCAAATCTGTATACAATAACAAGCAACTACATGAGTAACAAACCATGCAACATCCTTCAGAAGAATAACAAGTACAAGTCCACATGCTTCCGGCAAAAGTTCAAATACCACCGGGGCACATTTTAAACATGGTTGCATGTGAAATGATATTTATTTTACTTGATGATAAGGTTATTAATCAACAAAGAAAAATGAAAATTCTTAACAGATGAGATCAATTCAGAAGCACTTATTTAACACACTCATCTATGATACTAAATGTTTAGTGTTCCACATTATTTGAGAGAACGGGATGGTCTCTTTATATGAACTTGGGTAATTCTGACCTTATGAGCTAGCTTTTGGGATTGAACTATGTGCAAAGTCTTTTTTCTTGACACGGAATCAGACCTTATGTTCTTGATTTACCCTTTCACGCAAAGTCTATTATATTGTCCACGCATCAAATATCCAACTCCAAGTGTGTGAAAGGGTGTTAAGTGTCCTACATTGATTGAACAATGTCTCCTTATATGCATATGAACAATCATCATCTCATGAGCCAAATTCCGAGGGTAAGTTAGAGTCGAGGTCGATTTCATTTAGAACAACTACACCTCAGTCCCAAACAAGTTGAGGTTGGCTGTATGAATTCTCACTAACCATGTTACTCCATTTAAGCTCACCTCACTAAGCATTTTTTCAATTGTCAAAGGTAATTAATTCATTCAGACAAAATTTTCTTCTATGGTTCAATAAGTGAACTTGCTAAAGTAGGGATTTTCAATGCCATAGCTTCTCGTGAAAAAGATGATATCGCTGTGTACCTACCTCTAAAACTGATCTCATGTGGTGAAAAGAAAAATAAGAGAACAGATAAATAGGAAGCTGAATTGGAAAATAGACAACATCATAGTTTATGAAGAAAATTTCTCTGACCTAAACCACCTCCCAAGAATCCTATCAGTATCTCTCCTTCGTTCTTTCCCACAGCCACTGCTCCTAATTTAATATTCCCACCAGCAAGGCAGCAACACACTGGGTCGAATTCACATCCTTCACCAGATGAGAGTCTGTCTCCTTCATGCAGTTTCCTAATAGTTGCTCGAAAGGGTAGTCAGTCCAATAATAATTCTCAACCTGGTTGTGGAACTTTCGTGTCCTAAAGATAGTATACTGTTGATGTATTAGAAGAAATTGGTATGCTGAATTGCAAAACCAATAAATATTAATCCTGTGAACTGAATGTTGAGCTTCTTCTCGAACAGGTTATTATCGAACATTGGTTGGCAAGCTCAATTATCTCATGATGACATGACTAGACATCTCATTTGATGACAGTATATTAGCAAGTTTATCCAAGCTCTTTGGGAGTCCTTTGAATGAAATTATTCGAATTGTAAGGTATATCAAAAAGCCTCTACAGGCATTGCACCTAAGTGAATTTTCCAGCCTTTTCCAACATAAATCTTTCCTCTCGAGGGTCACCTATCAATATAGTTGACCCATCAATATCTTTATCGTTTTGGTCACCGAAATAGTGTTACCAGGAGTGGGAATCTAATTTCTGCACAGTTTTTATTGTTTTACCGTGGCAATGATGAACTCTTTTGACTTTTGCAGAGTCGTATCAAGTCGTCCTCTTAGGAATTCTCCAAATTTATCTTGCAATGATTAAAGCCATTTTCTTTGTAATACTAATGTGACCTTTCTGGTAAGTTGTTCCAGCAGCAACAGCATATTCAAGCTATCCTTTCTACTCTTTCTCGAGACTACATCTAGAACTTTTTATTACTTGTCACATAATACCAATTGAGCATATTAATCATCAGAAAATAGGTTTGAGTGATTCAAACAATTGAATAATTTCCTTTTTTTATAAGAAACAATCAAATAATTTCCTTATTTGATTTTAATGAGTTGCTCAAGTAAAACGAGGTGTGTAAACAGGCACACCCACAATTGCATATGTTTTTCAAACTAGTAATCCTGTGGTTTATGTTTCTTAGTCTTCTCTTTTGCCCTTAATGACAATCTTTTATAGCCACACAAATGTTATGGCATGTTTAAGACCATCAGTATTCAAGTTTCATAGCCACGCAAAATGCTAAGGCATGTTTAAGACCATATGTTTCAAAGCCTTCTTTTATTTCTTAAACACTATGTTTGATCGGAAAGGGTCACCTAAAATGAAATCGCCTTTGTTCTGAAGGCCTAGCGAGTTCCTTTTTTTTTCAAAGGCGACTAAGGGGAGTATTTGATATTCTCAATCTCTTTGTATTGCTACATTGGCAGCTGGTCCCAAACCGTGGTAATTGAAATCAGTCACGTTATGTACTCCTTCTTTGACTTTAAACGCAATCCTATATGCCTGGTTGTCCCCTCAATCTAAATATCCATTAGCCGTTTGTCTCAATCACTTAATTGTTCACTTGCCTTTTTCAATAACTTTGTTGTTATCTAGATAGCAATCTTTGAAACTCAGTCACTTCCCAATCTTGAAATTCCCTTCTAAATCTCAAGTCCAAAAAGTCTCTCCACCCCCTAATTAGTTGTACTCTTTGACAAGTTATTCTGTACAATCTCTGAATATCATCTCGATAATATGTCCCCAAAAATTTATTCTATCTCTGTCTTGACCTTGAATGAGATATTTTCCAAAAAAAATACTCCCATGCCTTCATGATATTCCTCCACAAACCACAACCGAAATGATTTACTATTGTTGATTCATTAATCATGGAATGATCTCCTAATCCTTCGTTAGGTATTACATAATTACATTCAACAGCTTCCCTCTATGAATAGGTGTTCTGAACATGTAGCCTATACACCTACAAACACTTTCTGAATACAGTTCACTATTATCGATTGATTTCTATAAAATATTTTGAGTGATATTGTTAGTTCATCTTCTATACAGCTTTATCTGAAGACATAACTCCTATAACAATGTACCAAAAATAATAATAACTCCTATAACAATGTACACCAGAGTTGTGAACAACTTCCCTCTCAGTCACTCACATTTCACATTTCTCGAGTCTTCCAACTGGAGTATGGTCTTAACATATACACAGTATTATTGACATCATCAATTCATATTAAGGTCAAACATCTAGCCAGGAAAAAAGGGTTGAAAGTTGCATATAATATGCATAGTGTAGCTGGGTTTTCACAAACCATTTCTTTGAGAAAATAACTTCCAGCTCAAACAAAATGCAGTTGACAAGGACAACCAGACAAAGAGACTCGGTGGAGAATTCAAACTTACATGCTTAGTGATATCCTTGTGCAGAACTTGCGCTTTTGACTCAAGCTCCAACTGCCAAGAAGTGGGTAAATCAATTGCCAACTTGAAAACAAAGTTATGAAGTTAAAGAAAAAAAGGCCATACATTACCAATCTGAAGAAGAAAGTTACAATGTACTAAACAAAACTCAAAATGGAAGTAATCTCAACCTATAGTACTAACAAGTCAAGAAAACTTAAGATTTACTCTTTCCCACATAAATAAAAGTATTCATAAGAAGAAAGAATAGGACAAGATTATTAAGTATTAGCACAGTTCAACTCTGAGACCATGCAAAATCCAAGCTAAATATTCACACCAAAGTTATTCAGAGTAATAAATCATTGAGAGAGTGTCAAAATCTAGAAGAATACAGTAACTGGCAATTTCCAATACAGCAGTCTACAGAAAAATAATTTAGAAGGAAAAAAAGAAGAAGTTAATATTGGAAGAGGTGGTGTTTGTTTTTGCCACATAATTACAACAGCAGTGGTATGAAGCTGAATTGACACAGTAGAGGTCAGACACTAAGATCGAAGCCATTAGTTTGTTAAAGAAAAGAGCAAAGCTCGTCAATTTGAAGGGATACACCTACTCAAGACAATATTATACACAGTTCTTTTCCATGTCTTTTCATTTATATATAAGTTGTCCAAGTGATCATTTCCTCGGAAGGTCTACAATATCAATAGCAAAGAAAACCTGAAGATTTCATGAAGAATTTTTTTTCACAAATTGTGTGTTTCATCCTCTCCTTAGGAATCAACAATATCCACCTCAGAGGGAAGAAGCAGAATCTTTTTACAAGTCTCACTAGATTCTCTACCAAATACAGGATTGACAAAATATCCATAATCAGTTGGCTACAGCTTAAAAAACCTTGTAGAGATTCCTTTGTTATCAAATCAAGGAAAATTGCACCAAGAAAAAAAAAGAGATATGCAGACATGACTTAAGATAATCAGCTTCGTCTGTATGCAATAATTCTTGATTCCAGTAACGTCAAAGTAATAATCAGATTTCGAGCATAGCAGAAGTGAAGAAAGAAGAGAAATTGAGAATGATGGTAGGAAAGTAATGTATCACCTTTGACAGGAAAGGGACGTCACAAGCAAATGAAAATAGGAGATGCAAAACAAAGGAAGAAGAAAATATAAAGGACAGGAGGGTTCAATTTGAGAGGAGAACGGTAGTGGGTAGGCCCATTATCCACCGAGTTTTAAACCATGCGCCATTGCCCTCGGGGATATCTCGGTTATCAAGATAAATTGTAGAATGATAGACTTGCTGGTGCTTTAGATATCTTACAACAGTAGGCCTCTTGAGCAAACCAGCTTTTATTCTTTCACGCAAATCCTCACATTCTTCCTGCCAAGAAAACGAGAAATTCTTATGAAAGAGGAAACATATATATCTAAAGAAGAAAAGCTTTTGACATTTGCACAAACAAATTTTAGACATTTTTTTTTTGTGTGTATATAAATGAGTCAGGATAAAGGAGAAGTGTTGCAGTAGATTGACATCCACTATATGATGATGGATTGCTTGTGTGAATACACGCAAGGATACACCCACACAATATACATATACATCCGATACAATCCTTCCCCTCTAGTTGCATTTGTTCTCTTATCAGAGCCAAACTATACCACTTTTTACATAACATAGATTAATTTCCCTTTGAATAATAACATTTAAAACTTCAGAAACTATATAAAAATAAGTAAACTTACAAAGCTATCTACAGTAATATCTTCGTCAAACATTATTATGTTAAATTCTCAAGAAGTGAAATATGATAAATATTTTGAGACACGGGTATATTTAGGTATGCAGTCATAAGAAATTAGTCATATAAGAAAACAGGAGCCCACCAATCTTGTTTAAGTTAGCAAATCTATTGACTAACACCATACAAGAGAGAAAGACTACTCTATATACCAAAGCTGCTGTGTTGAAAGAAATTGACAAATACACTCGATCCAAAAACATCAAGCAGTTCTACAAATATGAAATATGTCCATGCTAAATGAAGTACTTATAGTAGTAGCAAATTTAGTATAGCTAAATAGTGACAAAGAGTTTCTCACACCAAGTACCTAGGTAGTCCACACAATCAGAAGTAGCTTTTTCAATAAAACGCAAGTTACCGCACTCAAGGGTGTGTGACCTAATGGTCAATGAAGTGAGACAATATCACAGGGACCAGTTAACCCGGTACCTATGCTAGTGGGAGATGGCAGTTACGTGATGGCATATGTTAGGTGCACATTTTTTTGATGACAATGTTAGGTGCACATAAAATGGCATGGACACCACCATTTTCGAAAAGATGAAAAATAATAATAATAATAAATTTAAAACATGTATATTCCTAGTTTTGATCAATTATTAAACATCCTCTGATGCATTTCTCGACCTTTGAATAGAATATATTTTCAAGAAATCATTTTTTCTTTTTTGTGAAAATTAAAAACCACTCAAATGTTTTGCCAAAGTCAATCTCAGAATTGCCATAATCCATCCCAAGAGGGGGCAGAGAATGGAGTAATTTCGAATCAGAGCCATCCAACACTATGATTGACCATATATACTGCTAACAGTTGCTTACCTCATAAAAATTATCATCAGATAAGGATGATATTGGAATGTCTTTCATCAAATTTGAAAGTTGAAGGTGAATTTCAAAAGCTGCGTCACTGGCTGACATAACCTTTTTTACACCTGTGAAGCATTCAAGCTTTACAATGAAAGAAGCAAGGAGGATAGAGAATATTACTTAATGGAAAAGACAGCATTTGTTTCCCCTTTTCTCATGGTCCTCTTCAACTATGCACACTCTAAGAAACACAAACATAAATCAGACATAATTCAGAATTGCCTTTGAGCATCAAAGTTTCAGGTAAACTACATATTTTAGGATTCATAATTAGGCACACAGTATTTTTTGGGAGTAGCTATTTTCTTCTTCCTTTTTGTTGTCCAGTACCCGCATGGGAGTAAGCTAATTGTTTGTGTTACCCTTGGAGATTCATGAGAATTCCACAAGGAACAAAGACGATGAAAAGGAGAAGAGAGATTGGCATTAGGAGGAGATAACCTCTTTTAGAAGTATATCTTGAGACAATTTAAAGAACAATAAACAAAAGCAAGCAATTAGATTATACAAAAATTTCCTTTATCGTCATGCAAGCAAAATTATTGGTATTAGACAAGGTTTAAGTGGATCTACACCTACAGTAGTCTCAGAACATATATCCCAATCATAAGTGTCCGTCACTTTATAAAGTTACCTTTCCACTAACACAGGATATGTGATGAAAAAAGTGCAGTCTCCCTAAACAATGGTAGAATAATGATGATAATTGTAGAAGTAACAACTCCTCCCACCGACAGTTAGTGAGGACATAAGTCAACAACTATGCACCGAGTAGATAGAAATCTAGCTAGTCCATTTGCTATTTTACCACACTATAGTTCTTGCAGAAAACCATGTCCATATACTCAAGACATGGCAAAGTTGAGAGGAATCCGGAGCCAAAAGGGTCATTTTTTTCCTCCAAAATGCATAAAGGGCCACTCACAAAATTTTCTTTAAAAAACATGGAAAAACTCACTGGCTGGGCAGCGAGAAAGAAAGAAAAATAGAATACATATCTCGTTGATTGTGCAGCGAGATTGTCTTAGTATTTACGTCATTAACCGCTGTTGAAATCATAAAGGATCTCACTCCCTCACCAACGAATTGTCCTTTTTGGTTAAAATATTAAGTGGCCCTTTATGCATTTTGGAGGAAAAAAGTGGCTTTTTTAGCTCCGGACTCGCGTTGAGAGTGTCAAACTGTGAATATAAAAGAACCAAGTACTCAAAAAAATGCAAAAAGTCTTTCCCAACAAATGTCCTAAAGATGTGATCATTAATTAGACTACTTAATCAGCAAAGTACATAAACTCATCTCCACCAGCAATATGATGTATGACTATCTTTGGTGGCGATAAGGGCAAATGGCACCTTATCAAAGAAACCAAAAAAAAATAAAAAAGTTAGGCAACTTCAAATGGCAGTTCCCATAATAATTCCTTCCCAGAATGAAAATATCCTCAAAGTGGTCAGACGGTATTTTCCTTTTAGCATGCCAAGAGAACAAGGAAAAAAACAAAACCACTTATATTAGGATTTAAGAACAGATGCAAAAAGAGAACATCTATCCAAAGAAGGACGAAAATCAGAAGGGATTTTTTTATAAAATTACCGAAGATAGATTTTTTTGATTAAATAATAAATTTTATTAAAGTTTGGGTGAAAAAAGACTTGTTTACAAATAGTACACCAAAAGGTAGAAAACCTACAAAAAGAAAAGGTTTTCTACAAACGACACCCAATCTTCTATACATTAAAGAATCTCATGGGTGCACCAAAAAGAAACAAGGGATAAGAGGTTATTCCTCAACTATCGAAAATCCTCTGCACCTTCAAAAGCCCTCAAATTTCTTCTCTCAAAACAACCCATATAAGCGCAAGTGGAGCAACTTTCCACATCCTACTTACCATCTTCCACAAATTATATACAGTCGGACCGATCTATAACAGTCTCGTTTGTTCTAACAATTTTTTGGAGGTTGTTAAACACCCATAACATTTGATGTTTAAAATATTATTTGGTTGTTATAAGCAAAAATTATCCAAAAAGTTTCTTTATTTCTTAATGTTATGAAAAGATCAAAAAAATTATTCAAATTTAAAATTTCAAAAGATATGCATATTTCACTAATTAAAAATTAGAAAAAACTTAATACATTATACTAAATGTTAGCACTTTGTCACCACTTTATAATGATTATCAAGGGAATGAAATCTTTTAATTATGGAAGTGTGTATTCACATAATATTTTTTTTTATCATAAGTGGTATAGTAAAGTTTCAAAGTATTTGGTCAAAATCTCTAGATTTATTTTTGGTAATCTTCAAGATTTTATTTCTATGAAGATGATTGTTATATTACCAATAAAAGAAGATACTAGTTATAATAGAGGAGTAATTTTACAAAAAGAATATTGTTAATAAAGATGGATGTTGTTGTTACGGGTAAAAGGCTGTTATAGAAGGGGATAAAATATAATGTAGAAAATCGATTCCGAAAAAGAACTTGGCTTTTATAGTGAAATGGTATTTATAGGGTGGCTGTTATAGAGAGATCTTATTGTATACTCATGTAAAGAGGAGCAACAATTCTGAAAACAATCTTTCTCTTTTAAAAATACAAAGATGGGAAAATTTCAAGTTCATCGCTGTTAAATAAAGCTCTTAAAGAATAAAAATGGATGTCTTTGTAACACCAAAAAAAAAGGGGAAACAACAAACACTTACTTTACGTAAATAAATCAATCTGATGTTATCGTACATTTTAATCATGAAACAGCAATTTTTGAGTTATTTGGTAATTTTGTTTTCTTTCTTATTTGCTACTTTCTCCTTTTTCTTACCAGTTTAAGTATAGAAAAGAATTCTGAGTACTTACGACTTCCATATTCATCTTAGGAAACAATCAGCAATCGCATCTTTCTATGTTTAACTAGAAATGCTCGCAAGGGACCATGACTACGGATTTGTTCACACAAAAACACAGAGGGAATCAGCATTTAAAGGCTGGATTGTTGCTTCCCTCACTTTTTGCCCAAGTCTCTCTTGTAGGGAGGGAAATCTTTTATTTTGGAAAACATCAACGCAACATCGATCTTATGTAGTCACTGTAGGATTTTCAAAAAATAAAAGTGCACAATGAAAATATACCTTCAACTTGCTGAAGCTGGTGGGAGTTTTTCTGAAAGTAATCGTTTGGGTCAGATTTTACCCTCACAAAGCTACCCACAATTTTATCTTCGAAACTTTCAGGGGTCTTCAGAAGATCCTGAACTAAGCTCCTCTTCAAGTACACAAGTTTAATGTTTTCAGCAATAACAGCTGCAAAACAGCTTTTAGGAACAACAGGAACCTTTTTCTTTGGACTCCCTGTACTTTTTCTTCCCTTAGATGCTATTAAAACATCCTCCTCTTGCGAACTGTTAGAAGATTCATCCTCTGATTCACCATGGTTCTCACTGAAGTGCACTTCCAACAAATCATAGATTTTTAACCGCGGTATAACTTTCTTTCCGAAAAGGGAATGAAGTCGTGCGTCACACATAACCCTCTTTTTCTTTTGTGGATTAAGAAGACCATTCGAATTTACATATTCAGTGACAATCGCCGACACCTCTTGTTGAGAGTACGATCTGCTTGTATCTTTACCAATTGATTGAAGGAATTCAATCAATGGTTTGGATCCCCATCCAACAAACTCTAGTTTCTTGATCCTGACATTTCTCTTTCTTTTCAAAGAAACAGGTAACTGATCCTTGACTTCTTCAACCCAAAAGGAGTTCCCATCCATGCTGTCGGGATAATATGCCAACACGAGATTTTACACTTCTGGAAAAGCAATTGCCACAAACTCATATCATAATAGGGACAAGCGCAGAACTGTTTCATTACAAATAAAAGTAAAAACAAAATCCCAAAATGAAATGGTATTTGATGATAAGACAAGCCTCTCCGTCTGTCACGGTTAAAGGCAGAAGTGATGCTCAGTTTGCTTGGAAGATCATAGAAAAGAGTTGTGCAATGAAATCATATTCAAACTAAATTAACACTGCATCTGATTTTGGTGATGTCGACTTTTAAACATAGTTTTACTCAATCTGAACACAACTTTACCTACAAATATATCAAATATGTATTCAGGATCTGAATCTCCGCCTAGAGGACAGAAACCAGAGATTTTCATCTGGCCCAGGCCAAATTAATGATTTTATTTCTGCACATGAATCTTATTTCACATTATTATAATGAAAACTAGGTTATTTAAATATCTAACAGAGCATTATGAAAGTAGCCATCAGACTTTTCCATCTTAACGAGCAAGGCCAAAAGTAATTATCAGGCTTAATGAGGAAACCCATGAAGGGGGTAGATTGTACCTTCTTATCTCAGAAGTGTCTTGAGTGCTGCTGCCACAAGGACTCTTTCCAGTGATTGATTAGCAATAGCACCACTAAATATATGTATTCGTCTTCATAGCATTCATACGAATTTCTATTCAAGTATCTTTCGAAAAAATGTTTCAAATATTTATCTACAAAAGCAACTAGGTCTCCCAGATTAGTATATAAACTAAAGATTTTCATATTTCAAACTCACAAAACGAAACCCAAGAGAATAATTTGATTCAGGGTTTACCTTCAGGAAAATACCACTTCCTTGAGTGAAATCTAAAGCATGGTTGTTTTATATTGTTGAGTAGACCCTCTTCATCTTCTCTTGCCGCTCGCTCTCTCCGTCAAAGAGAAAACTTGCCGCCAGCTGTCATTGAATGAAATATGCATATAAAATATAGGTGAATATGTGATGTTTTCTCTAGAAATATTTAATACCTCAATCTTAACGCCAAAAAATGGAAAAAAAAATAACATTTATAAATTCCACACAAGCTTAACTACAAAACGCAATTCATTTCACCAAATTTCATCTAGGATCTACGTGTCAGTTACACATTCACCTCTTCTTATTGCTAAATCTTAAGGTCATTTAAGAGATCTAGAAATAAATTAATAAATGGGTCATCAAACATTTGTCATTAGAGATTAGAGGAGAAAAGGGAATAAAAATATCAGCAATTGTTTTATTTTGAGAAGGTAACAGCTGTTTTATATCCAAATAAGACTGCACCAAACTTGATGCAGTCAAGGTTAATTACAAAAGAATAAGATCAGTCTCCTATTCCTTAGATTCACAATGTTCCTATAACATCTACAAATGATTCATGATCTTCCATGTATACTACTCCCTCCGTCCCTAATTACTTGTCCACTTTTGAATTAGCACACCTATTAAGAAAACAATGATTGACATAGTGAGTTTACCATTTTACCCCTATTAATTATGAAGTTGATGAATTAAAAACTTGAGATTTCAAAAAATTCTACCATTTTCAAAGCAATTAATTGAGGGTATAATAGGTAAAAAAATTGTCCTTTCTTGATTTATCAAAATAGACAAGTAATTAGGGACAACTAAAAAAGGAAAAGTGGACAAGTAATTAGGAACAGAGGGAGTAATTTACACCAAAAATAAAACAAAGCTAAGCACTTCATCTTAATACCCTGGGTGGAGCTGCATTTATCTTCAAAGCATCTTAGGTTCCTTTTCTTCCACATTATCCACCAAATACAAGTAGGGAAAATTTTCCATCTTCCCTTTTGTGTAGCTAAGCTACTATAATTGTTCCAATTTTCCAGAGTCTACAGAATACTTCCAGGTATTACCACACAAGTCCTTACAAATTTATAAAAATCCTCCACATCTAACTTGTTATTTTGCAATGTAAAGAAAGTTTGTGTAGCTAACCTACTATAACTGTTCCAAATTTCCAGAGTCTACAGAATACTTCCAGGCATTACCACACAAGTCCTTCAAATTTATGAAAATCCTCCACTTCTGACTTGTTATTTTGCAATGTGAAAAAAAATGATTGATTGTCGCTGCCTTTTGTCCACATAGATAGCATGTTGACCACACAACTGTAGTACCCTCTTCATTAAGTTATCCTGAGTTAGCACTGCATTTCTAGTCAGTTACCAGGTACCACATACTACTTTATAAGGGATTTTGACCTTCCAAATCAGTTTCTAAGGCCAACAGTCAACCTGATTGTTTGAAATATTGTATTTTTTGTAGGCACCTTTGACAGAGCAAGTACCTTGGCTATTTCCCAAACCTTAGAATACAGTCTTCAAAGGTGGAAACTCCCGTGAATTGTTCCAAGGTAGAGTAGAAATCTGAAAGTCTGTCAATCTCCCAATCATTATGCATCCTCATGTAGCTCAGATTCCAACCTAGATTGTCCCAAACATCTCCAACAGTTGAGCTTTGTTTATGATGTTTGTTTAATCCATTTATCTACCCAAAAGGAAATACTCTCACCATTTCCTACTTTAACATTGGAGTTGTTTTTTAACTTTGGCCACAAAAGCCTGATTGATTTCCAAACACTAACTCCATATAGACTGCTTACCAGCTTTGTCATCTAATTATCCTCCATGCCATATTTCCTACTGATATCATCTCTCAACGGGACTGTTCATTTGAGATAAATCTCCATATCCACTTCATCATGAGAATGTAGTTTTGAATTTTCAGATTTTTAATTCCCAAGCCCCTTCCCTTCTTGATATCAGTAAGAGCGTCCCATTTAACCAAATGAAATTTTTTGGTGTCACAGTTGCCTTGCCACAAAAAATCTTTTTCAGAGCATCCAGTCTATCCCTTACACTTGCAGGACTTGGGAATACAGACATCATGTAAGTTGGCAAAACATTTAATACTCTATTTATCAAAGTCGATCTCCACACACATCAAACAAAAACAAAAAAAAAGTTATTGACTCCTCCAGTTCACCAACTTCTTTACACATTCTCCAATACATTGTTCCAAAGTTCCTTGGACTTGCCCTTTGGCCCCAGCAGCATACCCAAATATAATATGGGAAGTTCACCAATTTTTCCTCCAAGTATTCCAGCCAACAGGCTAATATTTGTTACCTCATTAATAGGGTATAAGAAGCTCTTATTCCAGTTGACATGTAACCTAGAGATAGTTTTAAATGGAACAAAAATCATTTTCAGCATTTTCAACCGCTTAATATCAGCATCACAAAATATCAGAGTGTCATTTGCATTTTGCAAGTGAGATATCTCCAGGTTTATATAATTCCTAGTAGAGACATTGAAGCCTTTTATCCAGTTAGTTGTTTATGTTTCTTCAACATATCATTAAGACTTTCCATTGCAATGGTGAACAAGAAAAGGGATTTTGCTCACCCGTCTCAAGCCTCTCTGAGATTAAAAGAAATATATTGGTGAACCATTGACCAAAATAGAAATTTTAACTGAGCTTATATAGAACTTGATCCATCTAGCACCACAATCCATCTTCCTCAGAGCTTCAACCAGAAGTTAGATGATCATAGGCCTTCTGTATATCCAACTTCCAAAAAATGCCCGGTTGTTTGCTTTTAGTTCTTGAGCCCACACATTCATTGGCAATAAAAAAAACATCCATGATTTGTCCTCCTCTTACAAAAGTCATTTGTTGTCCACCCACCAGTTTAGTTATCTCCTTTTTAGTCTTTCAATAAGTAGCTTGGAAATAATTCTGTAAATACTATCTATCATACTAATAGGTCTAAAGTTTGTTAGCTCCTTTGCTCTTCTGCTTTGGAATCAAAGCCACATATATGGCATTAAAGCTATTTTCAGAAACACATCTTTCATGAAAATTAAAATAGCAACAATAACATTCTCACACAGCACCTCTCAACACTGAGAGAGAAAAAAGGCATGGAAAAATCATTAGGGTCAGGTGCTTTGTGACCGGCATATGGTCGTACACTACCCTAAATTTTGAAATTGTTCCTCATTAGGTGTTCCTCTCTCACTCCACAGTAAAACAATTACTCTTGCATACATAATCTGACAGTTTCAGTTGCAAGGAAGAAAATGTACCAAAACCATTAAACTACTCATTCAACAAAATCTCATTATACACCGTAACCCCTTCAGTAAAACTTACATGACATTCCAGGAAAAGGCAGCGCATACATATAAAAGGAAAAACTTTAACTATAAAAGGGAACGAAATTAGGGAGAAAAAAAAAAAAGGCAAATCCCAGTAAACCAAATGATACCTGTGAAGCAGTGGCAACAACATAAGATTCTCTGAGTAACCAAATTCAGCAACGGAAGAACTAAAGCTCTCTTGATAAGACTGAAATGTATATAGAATTGAACTGCATATCAATGGGTATGAAAAATAAAACAAAAATAAAAAATTAGACGGCAAAATTTCTGTCAAGCAAACAAATTAAACTAAAATTTCCAAAAGGAGAAAGTTAAATGGAAAAGGGTTTATTGAGTTTTAACCTAAACAGAGAAATTCACCGGCGAGTTTAAGCAAAAAGGAGAAAGCGAAAGAAGAGCGAGTGTCGTCGGAGAAGAAAAGAATAGGCTCTTTATTTTTCCGCTATGGGTTTTAGCGAACATTACAACTTTTGTCCCTTTGTGTACAGATTGCTGGAACGGTTGTTTGACTCGCCTCCCTCTTGACAAGTGATTTCTTAAGCTGAAATTATAAATTCCTTTTTTTTAAGTCTAAGAAGTATAAAGACCACGAGTTCGAAATCTAAATAAGCCATAAAAAGATAAAAGTGACCAAAATAAGTCACTATTTTAGTAAGTACCTAAAATAGACTTAGTGGAAGAAAAAATTATGTTTTATGCAATATTCCAAACGTTTTCCATTAGTCTCATAACGTGTATATTTTAATATATAACAAAACTATTTCTTATACTTTGTAAAGTGGAAGTTTTTCTTACACTTTATAAAGTGGAAGAAAAAATTATGTTTTACAAAGAGGAATATTTTTCACGTTTTGCATTAAATTATATCTCTTTATGAAGCTTTTGCAGTGTTTGTCATACAATTATATTGATTTGACATATCATAAAAACGGAAAAAATTATTACATTATGTATTTTTATTTTTTTATTATGAAAACCCCTCCAAGCTCTATTTAAGGACGTTCAAACATAACACCTTCAACAATGCGAATGAAAGCATGGAGACGCGGACTTTATTTTTGGATCATTTACACTTGCACGTTGGCAAGGGTCGTAGAGGTGTAGCATCACGGAATATTTGCATCTTGTATAATTCTCCAAATTGGCAGGCCCCATTTGGGTTTCATCGTTTTTGTTTAAGACATTTGAAGGCCAAATTTAAAAAAAAAAACAAAAATGTCACTTTGAACAATCTTTTTATGGCAGCTGCAAATCACTGTCAGAAGAAAATTTTGGAAAAAATAGAGATGATCAAAGAGATTAACGCGGATGTTGAAGGTGTTATGTTTGAACATCCTTAAATAGAGCTTGGAGGAGTTTTCAGAATAAAAAAATAAAAATACATAATGTAATAATTTTTCCATTTTTATGATACGTCAAATCAATATAATTGTATGACAAACACTGGAAAAGCTTCATAAAGAGATACAATTTAATGCAAAACGTGAAAATATTCCTCTTTGTAAAACATAATTTTTTCTTAAACTTCCACTTTACAAAGTGTAAGAAAAACTTACACTTTACAAAGTGTAAGAAATGGTTTTGTTTTACAAGGTGTAAAAAATAGTTCCGTTATATATTAAAATATACACGTTATGAGACTAACGAAAAATGTTTGAAATATTGCATAAAACGGAATTGTTTCTTACACTAAGTCTATTTTATTTACTTACTAGAATAGTGACTTATTTTGGTCACTTTTATCTTTTTGTGGCTTATTTAGGTTCCGAACTCTAAAGACCACTATAGGTTATTTTAATTATATAAGA